ATAGTTGACCTCCATTTTCATGGTATCAGAGCTTAGGCGAAGCTCCTGTATCGGGCAATTAGGAAAAGGATTGAGGTGAAGAAAAGCTTAGCAAATTCTCACACGAGTTGAGCTCAATTCCAGCTCGATTCAGTTTTGTACTTGGATCTGTAATCTACAGAAATAATCCCTCTGTATCGTCGATTTCAATGGCTGTTGATGGAACTTCCTCTACTCCAACTAATCCAGCTGTCTCTACACCAGATCAGAATGTAGATCTGGTTCATCACCATCATCCGCTCTACATTCACCCATCAGACACACAAGGTACAGTTCTCATCTCAATTCAACTTCAAGGTCCTGAGAATTATTCGCTTTGGAGTAGATCTATGAAGATTATTCTGCATGGTAAAGAACAAATTAGGCTTTGTGCTAGGAACTTGTAGGAGACAAATGTTTGATCGCAGTCTTCACGAGCTATGGGATAGGTGTAATGCTATTGTATTAGCTTGGATAATGAACACTGTNATATATATATATATATATATATATATATATATATATATATATATATATATATATATATAACATGCAATTATCTTTTAAATGACCTAATGGTACAAATATTATTTTACATTATTATTGAACAGACTCAAAAAATAATGCTATCAAAGATAGCGGTTTTACTAGATAGATCGACAAGCTATCTGAAAAAGAAAAAAAGAAAGAAAAGAACAAATGAAAATATTAGGAAATTAAGCAACATCCTATATTGCTGCAAATAAATTTTTCAAAATCTCCTAAATCAGTTAAAGAAAAATACTAGGTATAAATGTTAATATATATTATATAATACGTGTTCTCATAAAGCTGCAAATAAAACATGTACTAACAGACTATTAGTACTTAATTACCTTACTGCATGTGCAATGCGTGTGCTAGGAAATCAAATATCCTATGATATTGCTGCATATATAGCATCTAAATTTTGCAAGGTCTCGAACATCAGTTAATGAAAATACTAGGTATATAATTATAATACATTAAACAAACATGTAACACAATTATATAGCACTTCTCTTACTGTAAGTTTGTCTATCTTCGAGATTAGTATAAAATTGTATACTAACATAAATAAACTTTATTAACTCATATGATCATAAATTTAAATCGTGTATAAAATGTATCAATGAGGGCGGGTCTTGGTATATATAGGGTGGCCCTAAGTTAGGTTATGAACATAAATGAGTGACGAATGTCTAGTTTCCCTTTCTTTAATTTGTTGGCATTGTTCAAGAGGAGTAGGGACATATAATTCTCTTTGATTATTTAGGTGCAAAGGGACAAAAATGTCACTTCACTTAAATGACCTCTCCTTTTGAACCAACTACTTGTAGGGGTCCATAAACCTCTCATGCCCAAGTTAAGGATGCCTGTACTAATTCCCTTGGCCATAGTGGAATTATTCCATAATATAATCTCTCTCCAACCACCATTCTTCCTATAACGTAATTGCCATTTATACAATATATGTTTATTCATTAATTATATATCAAAATTTTCAAAGTTCACTTTTTCGATCGAAGATGAGGATTCAAGATAAGAGAGGGTTGCTTAAGCTAGCGTTTTGACATAAATTTGATTGAAACTTTTTAAAAAAAAAAGTTTTCAAGATGAGATGAAAAAAAGTTTTGAAAGTTAAAAATGTATTTGGATATACATGCATTTACTTGAAAAGAAATTACATTGTGAGCTTAAACTTCAAAAACTTAAAAAAAAAAAAATGGTCCAAACCACTTTATGAAACTTGTAAATTCATCTTCAAAATTGCCCAAAAATTGGTCACTTTTTATAACTAAATAATTTTTTAAAATATTTCTTTTTAAAAAAAAAAAAAAATTATGGCCAAAACGAGAGCTAGTGGTAAGCATCTTCCATATTCAATCCTAAAGTTGCGGTTTGAGTCACTAAAAGAGTAAAATGAGGAGTTCCTAGGGAGAGGTTTAAAGAAAAAAAGATTGAGGAACTTAAATATTACAGTCATGCACTAGAGCAAAATTTTCTGATGAATGAATACTAAAGCAAAATTTTATAAAAAAGTCCATAAGAATTTTGAGGACATTACTTTGCTTCAACAGATATTATTATATATAGTATATATGTATATTGAATATTACTGCAGCATATATATTACATATATGGACAATTCTAGTGAATTTTGTCTCTTTGAGGTATATATTGTAAGTAAGATTCATTAAAATGGGATGTGCTATAGTACAAAATGTCATCTTCACTTCTTCATTTGCATTGCACTCATTTTGCTAGTTCAGTCTGCAACTTTATACTCCTCTCTATATATATGGCGTATTTCCTCCTAGTTTAGACATTACTTTTCAATTCTTTAAGCAGTGAGTCAGGAAATTGAACTTGTGCTAGGTATATAGGAGGACCACTTAATTAATTCCATATACATCAAATTTAAAGTAAGGACAAGTGTAATGTGTTATATATAATATATTTCTGAAGGAAGTATGAGAATCACACACTTGGCTACTCAGTATTCTTGTCCAGTTTTGGCTTTAATCAACATTTCCAAAACACTTTTGTTTGATATAAAAGCCAAAGAACCAACAATAAAAGCAACAACAATATAATAAACTCAGTGTAATCCCACGAGCGAGGTGTGTACGCAGACACTACCCTACCTTGTAGAGGTAGAGAGTTTGTTTCTGATAGACCCTCGGCTCAAATATAATATAATCACAATATATTTAAAAAGAAATTATACAGTAACGGGAAGCCATGAAGTAAAAGCCGAAAGAACCACGGGTTGTAAATACAAATTCTAGAATTCCATGTTAACACTATGGTATATTGATGAAAAATATGCCAAAATTGATAGGAACGTTAATGTTGTGATCATGGTATAAAGATGGAACATGAATATTAAAATCTCTTCAGTATCTCTGACATAAAATTCTTAACTCCTAAAAATATATAACATTGTGGGGTGATTTTCTCGAAACCTAAAAATTCATGAGCTAGAAGATAGTCAGTTTTAACAAACCATCTTCTCATAAAAATCTTTTTTCCTCACTTTGTTTTATTCCTTTTGGGTTGGTGCCTGGTGGTGGGGGTGGGGGTGGGGGTTAGTTTCCCCCTACTATACCTTCTTATAGTGGTCTTTAGCAATGTAATTTTTGGCAGATTCTTGAACTTAATTAGGGTACACATTAAGTTGCTAAAAATAGTAAGTAATGAAATTTCCAAAGAGCGCATGAAGATTCTGTCAATTTTTGTGGAGTGTGGACTATGAAAGATACCATAGAAAATTCACAGCAAAAGACAATAAAGTATATAGATCAAAAAAAAAAAAAAAAAAGACAATGAAGTACTAGCAATATACTAGTGGAGAAAGTACTAGATAATTACAAATCCATAAAATTTTAATAACCACTAATTATTTCCCTATCCATTGAGTCATTATCAAACTTAAAAAGTAGAAACGGTTAGAAAGTAAAATTTAAAGTTTAGATATTCAATCAAACTATTTACTATAAAATGAGAGATAAATTAAAAAAAGATTCAACTTGCTTCTTCCAATTAACAAGTGAATTTGGTAAGCAAAATCTGGTTGGAGGACCCACTTTTTGAACTGGTTTGGACCCACTAGCATGTGACCCATGTGTGGTAAATTTTTTTAAAAAAAAAATTCTAATGTTTAACATTTTTGTTCTTTTTCAGATCCACCTGTTATTGAAAAATTCCAAAAATCCACATTAATTGATAGAATATTTCTATAAAACTACAATATGTTAATGGAGGTGATCATGTGTATCAATGTTCCGTTGTTGTCTTTTTCCTAAGTATAAATCTCATTTAAGTATTTTTATTGCAACATGGAAGAATTTTGTTGCTCAATAATGCTAATAAAACAATTTTTATTCTTCAATGTACGTTTGATTGGTCAACTTAGTAAAATTTCTCTGTTTCCAGCAGTTTGAATTTACAATTATAATTGATTTATAGAAAAGAACAAAAAGTGATTAGGTAAATCTCCTAGTGTGCCAGAGAGGAAGGAAATGGCAATATTCTTAGCATGTAATTGTCAGTGTAGTTAAAAATAAATGCAAGAATTAGGACAATTCGAGAAAGACGCACCAATAGCCCGACATTGCCAACGGCTAGTAATTATATTTCTAATCTTTTAATTAATCTCTAGACGTACCATACCAGAAATTCAAAGAGAAAAGGAAAATAATTCTTTTTTACTTTATTCAGTTACTCTGAGTGATTAATGGACGTATATACAGGATTTACTAGAAGGAAAATGTCCAAATTTGTTGGTGTATTATCGACATCGTGCAATTTTACTCTCGGCTATACTATGAGTCAATTTATACCCTTGCCGTTAGTAAATTATTTCGTATTTACCCTTACCCTTACCATTAACGAATTTCCAACATAAAATAGATGGACACTATGTGGCCAAATTCTTCAACAATAAAAATCTAATTTACCCTTCAATTTTTTTATTTATTATTATGGTTTAAAAGTACTCTTATATTAGAGCCCCATTAAATATCAAGAGAAAAAATAAGTATAAGAGCAATTTTGCCCCTTTTCACTTATTAAAATTAAGCTGAACTAATTTTAGAAAATTGGGAAACAAATTTCATTTTATCTATTTTATTTACACAATTGATAAAATTTCTTGCTAAATAGGTATCATCACCGTTTTATAATGATTATTTTGACGCAAGATAGTCACCGCACCAGGACCCTAAGTCAAGTTTCATGTGAATTGCATGATTTTTAATTAATGAGGACAAAACACTGGTTGATTATGAAAAATGAAAAAATCACCACTATAAATTCCTCTTTTTCTTTTATAAAGAGGTAAATAACACTAATACAAAAAGGAAAAAATGTATAACAAGAAATCCAATTTGCCACATGGGTAACAAAATAGCTGAACTGTTGTGGCAAAAGGTCCCATTCTTCTTTATTTCCTTTTCCTTCTCCTTTCCTTTATTTAAACCAACAACACAACCATTGAAGCTAAGTAAACCAACTCTTTCTATTTTTTAAGTAACCACTTGCTACACTCCTTTTTCTTGCTACTAATACTATAGTTCTAAATTAAGAAGAAAAACCATAAAAGCTAGAACCATCTTTAGATTACTACTAGCTATAATGGAAAATCATTATCTTCAACAAGATTTCTCCATCTCTAGTTGTTCTTCTTCTATAACTTCCTCCTCATTTGCAAGTTCTTCTAATGGCTTAAATTCTCCTTCAACCACCACTTCTTCTACTTCATCATCTTCTTTCCACGAGACCATTAATGCAAAAACCTCATCAAATGGCTATACTTGCAAATCCAAGAAAAGCTCAAAAATAGTTCAAGATTTCACCAAAAATGGGAATGGTCATGGGAATGAGAAGAACAAGAAAACAAGAAAGAATCAAGGTGATGAAAAGCATCCAACTTTTAGAGGAGTTCGTAAGAGGAATTGGGGTAAATGGGTGTCCGAAATTAGACAGCCTAGGAAAAAATCAAGAATATGGCTAGGGACTTATCCAACGGCTGAAATGGCGGCTCGAGCTCATGATGTTGCGGCTTTAGCCATTAAAGGTAACTCGGCTTATCTTAATTTCCCTCATTTAGCCGATCAACTCCCGCGACCAGCCTCCACTTCTCCGAAGGACATCCAAGCAGCCGCCGCTAAAGCGGCTGGTAGCACGTTTCTCGAGGAAAATCCTATTAGAGATGAAGCTGAGTCCAGCCAAATCGAACTGCACAGTTCACATTCATCGACAAATTTAGCCTCAGAGAACACTCAAGAATTGCTAAATTCTCCATCGATGGACAATGATGACACATTTTTTGATTTACCGGATCTTACCATCGATCAAGTGGACCAAAATGACCGTTATCAGTACCCAATCTCAACGTGGCAGCTGGCTGGAGCCGATAGCGGAATATTTCGGCTCGAGGAGCCATTTTTGTGGGAGTGCTATTAAAAGAAAAATAGAATTGTACTCTTTAGTGTATGTTTTTTTTTTTTTTTTTGGTACATTGACAAAATATTCATATATCGTGTGTGAATTCTCAACGTCATAATTGGAAAGCCCAGAAAATGTTCATATAACACATATTTTTGAGTTTGGTCTATTTTCATCATCATTTGTTGTTCATGTACAGAAGACAGCAATTACACTTTCTTGTTTATGTTAACATGAGTTTCCGTTGTAGTGTAAAATTTATGGAGTAAATATGTTGTAGTAAAAGTAATTGGCTGTCTATCGTTGATTTTATCTGCTTATGTGGGCAAAATAAGAAAAAAAAACATGCAAAATTAAAATATGATCCAATGCAAGATTTTGTCTTTTTCCCTTGAAATAGTTTAAGGGAACAAGTTCACTTCCCTCAGAAGTTACCCATATTTGTAGCTGGCTTCAATTATAACCCCCCACCCCCCACCCCACCCCCCCCCACAAAAAAAAAGGGGGAACCAAGACAGAAAATCAGACACACCAACATAAATAAATATATATACATACTTAGTAGGTAATAATGTTTTGGATAAACAATCCAATAAATAAAAGAGTGACATCTATTTACGTGTACGTTTGTTCTTGAAATTGCTTGCTTACGGATTTACTTAACAATCAATTTGCAACTTTTTCTGTATGAGTCAAAATCACCGTGTCTGATTAAAAGAAAAGTAAGGAAAAAAGGCAAAGCCACTTAATTTGCCTTTAGTTAAGCTTTTGTCTTAGAGATTTAATGACAGTAACATATGGATTTAGGGGACAATTAGGATCCAATGATTGAATAAAAGTTTTATACTCCTCTTTTCCGTAGCATCAATGATATAGTAGTAATTAGTTAATTAGTTGGCAATTTGTTGGGATATAATATTAACCATGCGGTTTAGACATAATATTTTTTTATTCTTTATGGAACAATTGCTAATTTAATTTATTCAATTTAAATAAAGTACTATTTTAAATAGATCATTTATTACACGTGTGTTCTTTTAGTTATGTAGTAGACAATTTAGTGTATGGAGTCTTAGCTCATGCACAGAAGATTAAATTGTTGGTTCTCATAATTAATAAACTATGTTCACAATCGAAGATATTATTGGACAAAATATCTTGATGATTGTAGGACAAGATCATAGTATAATTTGTCTTGATTATGGGAGTACTGGTATTGCTCCTACTTCTAGTGCTAGTATACTTAGGGTATATTGAACGAACCAAGTAGAGAAAAGATGTTTTTGTACTGAAATATGTAAAACATTTTCTCTAATTCATTAAATGAGCTTATACTCCTAATCTTGATATAATTTATATGATCAATGTAATTTGTTTATTGTTTTGATTTATCAAAAGGTATGACTCTATTCAGAGTTAGTGTATGCCAATTAGATTGGACAATAACGAATAACATTTGTGAAATAATAATTAGTTGATAGAACCCATGACTCGGGTTTTGAGTTTGATGATACCCCTATAAGCTTATAAGCTTTCATGTGAAAACTCGGCCGGTGGATTTTGTATCCGTCACATGAAATAGTTTAAGCGGAATTGTAAAGAATTTAATTAGTTGATTAAATTAAATTTTCAGTGATTTAATTTAATTAACTGGTATTTGAGATCTTAACATGGGGAGTTAAAATAAGTGTTATTGAATTTTCGAAATTCATATTGAGGAGTTCAATTGCAGTTTTTTAGTGGAATAAACTACAATTAATTATAGTAAGAATTAATTCATGCTAATTTCGAATTAATACTATAATTAGTACTCCCTCCGGTTTACAATAAGTGTCCAATTTGCTTTTAGCACGCCCATTAAGAAAATACTAAATCCTATACACAAATACCTAGTATGACTAAACTACCCCTAATTAAACATTTAATGTGAGGAGTAAGAAAATTTTTTAGAGATATGTACATAGGGTTTTTTTTTTGTAAAAACAAATTGAATTCTTTCTTGATTACATAACTTGACACTTATTTTGAACCAAAATGAAAAAGCAAATTGGACACTTATTGTGAACCGGAGGGAGTAGGTTCTTATTATTTCTGTGGCCCCTGCTATACCTATTAAAAACCTGGACTTACTTGGGTAAAAGGTGACTTGGGAGAAAAGTTATCTGGTAGAATTAGAGTAGGATTCTACTTGTGAAAACAGAATCCTACACGTTTTTTTAGCCCAATTTTTGGCTAAAAATGTGTCTACTTAAGGAAGACAATATTATATTGTTCTTGCCCACTCAAAATCAAACTCGTCCAAAGTTTTACTAAGCATATAGCAGAAGACTGCAGTCGTGGATTCTTGATGTGTGGAGGATTTGTGCAACGATTTCAAGAGGTTAGTGCTTCTAATCTAGTAATTATAGCATTGTCTAGTTTACATCTATTTGATGTCTGGATTGTATGCTTGCTTCCGCTGCGCATATCCATCACTTTTGATTTTTTTTGTTTGTTATTTTCATACATATCAAGGAATCCATCTCTTAGTATTAATTAACAATAAAATTGACGCTATTAACCTTAATTTATGCATTGAAAATATAATAAATACTTCTAAGCTCTTTACTCCAAGGGCAACTTTGAAACAAGAAGTTAATTCTTTTTTTATATTTAAAAAAATTAAATATTCTAGATCACAAAAAAAAGTTAAAAGATCAATTAAAGTGGACAGGAGGGAGTATAAGTCACCGAGAGCGTATTATTGTCCTTTTCATTATGGTTATTACACATTTTCCGACGACAAATGTGACACTGAAATCGACTTAAAGCAGACACTTTCAATAGAGTAATGAAAGACGGTAGTTCTTGAAATCCCCATAATCGTGTTCTATATATGATTAAAGATTGAATTTTTTGGCACAACTTGTTCTACTCATCAATAATTGATTGCATCCTCCTTATAAAGGTATACTATTAACTATATGTAAGTTACCATAAATGAATATTCCTATCTCCTATCCATATGACCCGCGTTTCAAAAAAATTGCATTTCTCTCAAGATATTTAATAGACTTAATAAAATAAACTATTTATCTTCTTAAATATATCAATAAACAATATACTTATTTGAATAAAAAGGGAAGTAGGTTTACGAAATAAATAATCTTTTTTTCTTTACATTCAAATAATTCAGAATAAATTCATTTACTAAAACGAGTAATATTTGGGATAAGAGGGATTATTTAGTAACATGGCCTAGTTGAAAACCGAATCAATATTATTTAGTAGAGGAAAATAAGAGTTTATTTGTCCCAATGGCAGTGTATAAGCCACTATTTCGTAGTGATACGTGACCTCAATATCACTATCTCTTAATTAATAATTTTTTGGTCGAGTCACTATCTCCTACTTATTCGTAGTCTAATTACTCCATAATTTGGACACATTTCTTTGGGTTATTGGAAGGAGTGGCAAAGAAAGAGGCAAATCTAATCTCTTGGACCCAAGAAAATCTTCGTGAGTCTTATAAAATAATAACTTTTATTCATTTGTTTTTTCCTTTTCCTTTTATTCTCATCTTGTTTGTATAATTAAGGACCCAACTAATTATATGAGCAGCATTTAGTGACTATAAAAATCAAAGTACTCATCATGAAAGAGTGAAAGCTCATGGGGCCAACCTAATTTTGTCGAAATATATTACGAATCCAATGAGCAAATGGGGGAACTTGGAATCTTATGGGAAAAAAAATGTGGTTGATTTTCCAAAACTCCCTTTTTAAAGGTCCCATTTGTTGAATGAACAATTCCCAAAATATTCATATGATTGACGGAATACCCCTTTTTTTATTTGAAGTTTATTGCTCTCTTAGATCTAAAATTAGTACTCCATCCGTTCACTTTTACTTATTTATTGTGTTAATTAAAAATATATTTTTACTTTTACTTATCAATTATAGCAGATCAAGAATTTTTTATTTTTTTTTATTTTACCCTTATTATTAACTACTCATTTCACAAATTATTTTCCAAGATTTCTCAAAATATTACCCCATCCGATTCCAAAAAAGTGTTCACTTAGTCATTTACATACCCCTTAAGAAAATACTAACTCCTAAATAAAAATAGATAATTTGACTAAAATATCCCTAATTAAATATGTATTGAAATTTGATCACTTAACACGTAATAAGGGCAAATATGAAAAAAATATATTAATTCTTTCTTGGTAAGTGGACACTCTTTCTGAACCATGGAAAAAAAAAAAGCAAAGTGGACACTTTTTTGAACCGATGGGAGTATCATTATTATGGATATGCGAAGTCTATTGTGGACAAGTAAAAATGAACAGAAGAAGTAATTGTTTCAGCAAAATTAATTTATTTAAAAAAATATTTGACTTTAAAAAATCGGTAGTATTAAAAAACGGGTAGTATTTATTATCTAATTAATGGAATATTAATTAAGTGAGACAACTAAAGAGAGAGAAAGAGTAATTTAGAGTTTTTTTTAGACAGATATTCTTGATTAAAGCTGGAGTATTAGATATTTTTTTAAGTGTGCAAAAATTTTAAAAGAGAAATTGTATAAACGGAAGAAGTATTATTGTTAATATTTTTGTTTGCTGGGGTCGAGATGCATCTTGATTATGTCTCAAGAAAATCAGCATCGATCTTTTTATTTATTATAAAGGTAATATAGATGCTTGGGTATTAAAAGAGGACAAAATATTCTGGCATCATTTGAGATTTGCTGAGAGCAATAGCAATAACAAGTTATTAGAAGTTGTCCAACATCAACCTATTTAATATTCATTGTTTTAATTTAATTTTAAGTTGTTATCAGTCATATTACGTAAGCTTGAATAGTAGTGGTGGGTTTTTCATTTTTGCACATGCAAATTTATTATATGCACAAGGTAATCCATCAACCAAAAATTTACTCCTAATAGGCATTTTCATCCCTTTCTCAAATGAATGAATTACATATATTTTGCATATAAGCATCATTGAAATAGATTCAGTGAGATGCATTAATTCTCATTATTTTAATATGTGACTATAAATACTCAATAAAAGTAAATATTTTTCGGCTATTTAGCAATTTACATATACTGCATTATAGCTGTTGCTAAGATGAAACAAGAGATATAATTACTCTCTCATTCGAGAAATTAATTTAAAACTGTATATA